TGTTAGAGAGAGAGAGAGAGAGAGAGAGAGAGAGAGAGAGAGAGAGAGAGAGAGATAAGTTACAAAGAGTAAAACAGAAATACAGACAGAGAGGGGGAGAGGTAATGATATAAGAACAGACAGGCATCGAAAGAGAGAAAAAGACAGAGATATAGAGAAATAATGAGATAGGGACAAGGAGTTATACAGGCATAGAGAGAGAGAGAATGAGAAACCCAGAGAGATAGAGAGAGAGTGACAGAGAAAGTAAAAAAGAACAGTAAGAGATAGAGAGATAATGAGATAGGGACAGTGAGAGAGATAAGCATCGACAGAGGCAGGGCAACACAAAGAGTGAGAGAGAGAAAGAGAGACGGAGAGAGGGAGAGAGAGACAGAGATCGAAGGAAAATATCAAGGGAAAAACTGATATGAAGCTACTCAGATAATGAGGCATATAGAATGAAAAAGCGAGAGATTGAGACAAAGAGATAGACAGAATAACAGTTAGATAGATACGTAGAAATATGTGCATAGAGAGACAAATACTTTAAGCAGAAAGCAAGACAAGAAAGAAGCTGAAAATGGAGTTAGACTGAAACTTCACATAGAAGTTTCTGGTATCGAAACAGAAACTAAAAATAGACAAAAGTAAAACTACGCTCAATATTCCCATAGGCCTACTCTATGCCAAGTGAAATAGATGCATAGAGAGATGAATACTACTCTAGGCATATACTGAAATATCATAGGTATTTTCAAGTCGTCTCACCTTTCCCAGCGGCGGATGCACGTCGAAGAAGAAGGTGCGATTGATGTACCAGCTGCCCATTTTGCCAAAGTGCGTCTCATCCCAACTGAGAATAGATGTGGAGCTCTGATTGGATCCAATTGGAATGGGATATTGGGCAATACTTACCAAATGTGATCCGGTTCGGTTACCTTGTAGAAGCGTGTGGCAAAGGTGAAGAGGAGCACGAGGCCCAGCAGTGTCCACCAGCGTCTGCGCGTAGGCCGTGGGAAAATGTGAAAAAAAATCGAGTTTGTTGCTTCAGTCTTTTGTTTTTCTTGCTCACCCATTGTCGTTGCTGGCCTGGGCTGGCTGCGTTTGGGCCACATCTTTGGCTTTCGCCGTGCACTTGGGCGCCTTAACAACACTCGCGGCCATTTGGCAGGCGCAAATTCAACAAAATAAACATCAACAAATTGAACAGAAATCTTTTTTCTTATCTTTTTTTTTTTGTTTTTTTTCTCTCAACTGTTGCACACGTCAACAGCGGCGGCAGACAAAGCTGGCGAGCGGCTAAAGAATGCTTTCTCCTTTGGCATTCTTTCATTCTCTTGCAATCACAACAGTGCGGGCCAAAGCAGTCAACAAAAACCGGTCTTGGCCAACACGAAACAGCTGCTGCAAAGCTTAGAGCTGCCTTGGCCAAGTGTTATCGATAGATGAGCTTAGCAGAGCTATGAGGAACATAGCTGTATATATAATTATATACATAATTTATATTCACATTCTGTATATACATATATATATTTTGTATTTCATATATCATTTCTTCAATACATTTCCGTTGCATATTTCGAGTCGGTGCTGAAACACCCTGTGCTTTGACGGTTGCTGCTTTAAAATGTGTTGCATACTTTGGGGCGGTGTATAAAAGGGAGCAGCTAAGCAGCTCGAGTTGATTGAATAGCGCTGTAGAGTTGTGAATGACCGACTAGCAGCTACCCTGCAATTTTCTACACATGCAAATATTTTAAATGCATTTCTTTATCGAATGGGGCGTGATAGCTGAAATCTTTAAGCATACACAAGAAACTTTGTATGGATTACAATAAGCTTACAAAGCGGTTGCTGGAGTAGCTCACATGGCTTCAATAAATATTATTATATTATATTATTAGAAAAAAAGAAACTTTTTATTCAATACATTTACGGAAAGACGGACGGACATTGCACAAAACCAATGAACTAATTCATGAATGAGTTAAAAAATGAATCTAGACAGTAGATCTGAAGATCACTTGAATCACTTGAATTTATACAGCTATTCTAAAAATCTCTAGGTCTAGCTGCATTCAACTTCGGCTTATGACAAACGATATACAAGATTATCGATTATTTTCGATAAAAATTAGTATATTATAAACTCCAACTGCGTATTATAAACTGCTACGAGTTTCCATAAGCATCGGCTCAGCGCGTAACTCTGATCTACGATACATATACATTGTGCCACGTCTCATGGACTCTCAAAATTTTGAAATGAGAGTTGTCTAGTTGAAAGCGATTGACTAATGGCTACCCTGCAATTACTAAACAAACACAAAACTACCATACAAATTTTATTGCCAAATAGTTTAGTTGTAGCTGTTGGATCTTATGAAAAAAAGCTATGTACATCGAAGGAGTTTTTGAGATGGAGATGATTTGCTTGTGAAGAACTCAACGTAATATAATAATCTAGTGGTTGCTATAATCGTAGAGCTCATAGCAAATATATCGAATGATGTCCTACTATAGCTACGATACTCGAATAATACCTTGTTTTTATTTTATATATCAATGTGGGAAGGATCACCAGAAGTTGCTTTGTAAGATTTTAGATTCCCACAATAAATAATAAAATTATATGAAATTCAATTGAAGTCGATTGCAAGAAGAAGATAAACGTTATCAAATACTTGAGAAAATTTAAATCAGATCTCAAAAGCATAAAAGTTATCATATAGTAAAACGGTCAGGACTGGATCGATTCAATTGTAGCAGCTGATCGAGACTCTACCAGAACTGGCTGAACTCAAAATGATATCTGATTATACATATGTGAATCATATGCTAGCAAAAAGCAAAAGGTGAAAAAAGTAAAACTACATATATGTCTGCTTGAATTCTATTGTACCAGAATTGGATCATGTCTAGATATTAGATAAATCTTAAAAATAAGCTTAAGTAATATCTAAAACTAGAGGCTATAATATAATAAATATATGATATTATAATATTAGAGATGAGAATCAATATAAAGTTAGGACTAACTTCAATCTTTGACGATTTGTATGCTTTGCATTGTAATCATAGCTTCCGCAAGTCTTCCATTAGACCATATGCAGATCTTCAGCTCACTTGGCTAAAACCCAGTTGACTTGGCCATAAAACACTCTGTATGCCATCTACTTTCTAAGGTCGTCCGGGTCAGGGCAGGGCAGGGCAGGGCAGGGTCGAGTAAGACAGGTCAGGGCATATGCCAAAGACGTCAAGGCACATATTGAAGACGCCTGCAAGCGGCTGTGGGCCGAATGAGTTATTGGCCAAGTGTTGGGCATCGTTGCGCCCCCGCTGGCCAAATGCGACGCCGCATTTATATTCAAAATTGCAGTTGCTTGGCCCAAAGAGCTGGAACACCGTCTGAATGCTGGCCAAGTTTTATGCACATTTAACACTTGTAAATGGCCAGCAATCATTTGAGCCGCTTACACGATGTCCACGTCCGTCCGTCCGTTCGTCTGGGCCATCCACCTGCAATGCGGCACCGCCGTCCCTGCCGTCCCTGACTCTGCTCCCTTTCGGCGTTTTGGGCCAGCTAAAACAACCAGCAACAGCCAATGATGATGATAGCGATGATGATGATGATGATGTTGACGATAAAGCTTCAGTGGCTCGACTCGTCTCGCAGGGTTTCGCTTTCAGCCATAGGGTCGCGAGCAGCGCCTGAGTTTTTATACCCTGAACCCATTGAAAATGGGAAATCAGGGTATAATGTTTTTGT